GGAGACTAAGGCAATAAAATGTTTATGAAACTATCCAAGTCCCTGGTGTTTAATCATAATTCCTACTCATAGACTTCCTTGTGGAAGGAAGGGTTAAAGTGGAAAGAAAACCTAAATCCCCATTAATCAGTTACAAAGCAAGATAAAGCCAGAGGGAGGAAAGCCAGGGGAAAGAATAATATTCCTAATGTAGAGATTCCCGAAGGGCCACTTATAATTTCACCTTTTAGTCTAGAATTTTTAGACTGTTCAATAGGGATCTTTGAGTCATCTGACAAATGTTTATTGACTACCTGTCATGTACCAGGCATTGTTCTTGGCATCTGATATACAGCAGTAACAAATCAGACAAACATTCCTGCCCACAGAGAGCTTGCATTCTAGTTATAAAGAAGAGATAGATAAATACATGAATATACAAATAAATAGAATGTAGAACATGTCAGAAGTGATATGAAGAAAAATTTAAGTAGGGAAAAAAGCCAGGAGCTAATTTGGGCAGATTGTCATTTAAAACATGTTGGTTAGGGAAAGCTTCACTGAGAAAGTCACATTTGAACAAAAAAGGGGCTGAGGGAGCAAGCCATGAAGATGTCTTGGAGCAGAATGTTCCAGACAGAAAGACCTGCAAATGCAGAAACATTAGACAGGAAGGAACCTGGGATGTCCAGGGAACAGTAAGAGAGCATTGTGACAGGAGTGGGATGAGCAGAGGGGAGAGCTGTCAAAATTGAGGTTAGAGGGTCTAAGGAAATAGACAGCAGGAAGCTCCTGTAGGGTACAAAAGGCCATTGTAAACAATTTGGATATTTCCCTGAGTGAAATGAGGAGCCATTGGAAGGAATTTTGAGGCAGATGTGAGACAAATAATCTCAAGCAAAAGAAAACGTCAAAAGCTGGAAGGTGGCTGAGGTTAAGAGAGGACTTTATTTAGATGGGAGAAAATATGACCTGTTTTTGATGTCATTGATGAGCATAACCCAGCAGAGAAGGGAAAATAGGTACATGAAATGTACAAAAGGCAAAAGCTGCTGTAGTGGTTACATGGGCTAGAAGAGAGGGGAAGGGAGCTAGTGCGCGTTGCAGGGGCCGTTCTCGGACAGGACCATGGACAGTTCACCCGCAGTAACAGGAGGGAAGACCACTGGATAAAGCACTGCGGGCGGGGCGTTGCCTGAAGTCAACCCCGTGAGAGCTTGAGGGCGTTTTCTTCTATTGGTTTGATTTTCCCTTTGGAGTAGAAAGCAAGGACAGCTGAGAGTAACAATAAAGAAAGATGTATTGCAGGTTGAAATAGAGAAACAGAAGGGGCCTCACACAGGGTTCCAGGAGGCAACATAGATTAGTGGTGACAAGCAGGATACATATCCCAGCTTCACCAGATCAGCCGTGTGACTCTAGGTATGTTTTTATCTTCCCTAAACTCCAGCTTCCTCATGCAAAATGGGAGAATTGATAGTGCCAATATCACTGCCTTGTGGTGAGAATGATGAGAAGAGAGTGTAAAAGCAACATCAACCATTACTATTATGGCTGTTAGCTGATATTATGTATTAGGCACTCAATTACTTATTACTGGGTAGGTTGAGATATTTTATGTCCACTGTCTTTTCAGGAGGTTTGTCCTCACCAAGCTTCAAGTCATCCCAAAGGGAGCGTTTTCGGGATTTGAAGACCTGGAGAAAATGTACGTACCTGGCACTTCTGTGCGTGAATGCCTCGAGGGCAATCTAAGGGCAACCTCAGATCTCATCTTGTGTGAA